CTGGACTAGTTACCCTCTCTGCCTTGGTTCCTCACTGGAAAACAGGTAAGTACTAATTACATCACAGGTTGATTATAGGGCTTAAACTTAAATAATATAAACAACAACAGCAAAAAGGAAGAATAAAAGCTTAGGTAACCTATGGAAAGCTGTGTACACTGAATAAGAAGGTTGCTTAGGTAACCTGTGTAAGGCTTAATGCACTTATTATCCTACTCCAGTACAAGCCCTCAAATGATTTTACTTTGTTTCAAAAAAATTCTCAATGAGTCTCCCTGACATCAGACCTGCTAAATTCATTTTCTCTGTTATTGTTAGAATTATTTTTAAAAATCTAAATCTGATGATGTCCTCTCCCTGCCCAAGGGCCTCTAATATTTCTTTTCTCTATGGAATTGCCTTTTATGCCACACTAACGTATGGACTTAAAATAGAATCAACTTCTTACACAGAGAAACATCTGCTACCTTTCTCGTTTGTTTCCTGCCGCTCTCCGCAAAGTAGCACAGCTTTAATTAATGCTGTACTTGTTATGTCATGGGCCAACCTCCTTGATGAGGCCTCCGGGTCTGTCTGCTCCCCGCTGAAGCACGTGCTCCTTGTCATCTGGAAATCTCCTGGCCCTTTGAGACCGACCTCCTCTCAACACCTTCCCAAAGTAAAAATCAAATACCCTTCTGTGCTAGTAAGAGAACTGTATTCATAGTTCTCTTACTATGTCACTAGGTAATTTCATGTCAAGTTTGAAATTACTGAGTTGCAGTTACTTTCTCCAGGGGAAGGATCATTTCTGAATAGAAATCAATCAAATTTGGTGTGTTATCCAGTACCTGGCACATTGTACGTACTCAATACATATCATTGAATGAATAAATGATAACCAAAAGTATCCTTCTTACAATTGACAAGGTCTTTTCACACACTTAGTTTCATTACATTTTCATAATATTTAAGTTTAGGATTGGATACAAGAGGCTGTATTATTATTATTAATTACTGTTATAAACTAAAACTTACTAAATTCTCCAATGTTTTACCCAATTGCAGTACTTTCAGATACACAAAAATAACCATCAATATTAAAAAATAAATAAAGGCAAGAGTGAACACATGGCTCTTGTTTTAAGAACAAGGTAATTGCCGAAGCCGGTTTGGCTCAGTGGTAGAGCGTCGGTCTGCGGACTGAAAGGTCCCAGATTCGATTCCGGTCAAGGGCATGTACCTTGGTTGTGGGCACATCCCCGGTAGGGGGTGTGTAGGAGGCAGCTGATGGATGTTTCTCTCTCATCGATGTTTCTAGCTCTCTATCTCTCTCCCTTTCTCTCTGTTAAAAATCAATAAAATATATTTTAAAAAAAAAGAACAAGGTAATTATACAGTTCATGATAATTACCTGTGGTTATCGGTAAATACATTGCCGCTTGATAATTGTATGCCAGATTCAGATTAGGAAGCTTCTTTAATTTGCCACACACGCTGCTATTTAGAGTCAGGCTAAAACCTGGAATCAAAGGAACTCTTAGGAATATGGTAGCGTTTCCAAGTCCATTTTCCACCCATTTCTTTCATGTGGCAATAATATTCAATTCAGTTAAATAATTTAAAATCAACAGGTTCTATTATCTTCCTGAACTCTTTGAAAAACAGTTGGGCCAAACGAATAAGGAAAGATAGTTGATTTGAAACCTAGAGCAGTGATTATTAAAACATAATGACTTATGAGTGGCACATGAAATCAATTTAGCATCACTCCAGCAATTTAAAAGAAGGAATAGATACAATTAAAAAATACTAGAGTGTCTTGTATCAGGTAAGAATAAGTTGTTTTGTGAAATCTTTTGTTTCAACTGTATGCGTGTGTGGTATGTGTGTGTGTTTACAGGGTTGTGATGTAAAATCTATTTCCCACTGTGGTGTATATTTCCCACTGGATTGGGTCAAACGTTGGAAAGCTACCACTCTACAGGACACAGAGCAAGTGGGATCCAGTATAAGGAGCCACTTAATAAAAACTGGTTTAATAACTTGATAACATTGTAATCATGTCCCACTTGGAGCCCCAAACCCCAATTACATAATCATAATCCCCAAAGCATAATAAACACCTGATTCATTCACTAGACTTGGCTTTAAATAACATTTAATTATTTCCAAAAGCCAAACCTGTCTCTAAGAGATGCGCATTCACTACCACAGAAACTTTGCAGAAGAATTGGCTGTAGTCTGAAGTCAATAACAAAAAAGAGTAGTTTGAAGGTTATCCTTAGCAAAAGCAATCACTAAAACTTGGACTCCGATCACTATTTTCCAGGGATGCTCCTGGCACTTCTGTTCACACACTTATCCCACTGGCTTATACTTAATCATATAACTTTCTCTCAGTGAAACTGAGCCCCTTATCATACTTTATGATTTCTGTGTAATTGGTGCCTTTGCATATATTGTCTAGCACATACAGACATTTAATAAATGTTTGTCAAGAAGACAGTACTCATTTGAATAAATACATGTCCTGAAACTTAATGAGTGACTCCAGGTCAGAGCACATGCCAAGGCCATTCATGTTTCCTGTCCACTTTAAAGAACATACTTTTCAAAGAGAAGTGTCAGCCTACAAAACAGAATCTTATTGGAAATTTAAAATTCTTAACTTTTTAAATCAAAGCATTGCAATTTAAAACAAAATGAGGTGTTATTTTGACACTAAATTATCATAGATGCAAGCAGGAAGATGAACACTGCCAAACAATGCTTGTGATTGGGAAAACCAAAGAGGATAGTTTGGAAATACATATAAAAAATTGTTACGTATACTTATTCTTTTATGAAGAAATTTTGCTTCTAGTTCCTTGTTCTATGGAAAAATTAAGACTGCAAAAACTGGACCCAAGGATATGAATCTCAGTGCTGTTTACAATAAATAAAAAATGTATAATACTGGAAGATTAGTGATGGGAATTATGGTGATTCTAGCAATAGAAAGTATGCAGCCAAGAAAGATAACAATGTTCAATTATGTTGGCATATAAAAGGGCTTAGGAAATATACTTCCAAAAGCAGGTAATGATGCTGTAAACCGCAGAATACAATATAAACTTTTTTGTGAGGTGAAGTTCACATAACATAAGCATTAAAGTGAGCAGTTCAATGGCTAGTTAGTATCTTATTGGTCACCTTATTGGCCCACTGCCCCCTCTGTCTACTTCCTAAACATTTTCATTGGGCAAAAGGAAACCTGTTGCACACGGTAAAGCAGCTGTTTCCCACCCCCTCCTTTCCCATCTGTGTTCTGTCTCTATGACTTATGTACTCAGGATATTTCATATAAAAGGACTCATACAATATGTGACCTTTTGTGTCTGGTTTCTTTCACTTTGCATAATGCTTCGAAGGTTCATCTGCCTGGTAGCAATACTTTATTTTTTATGGCTGACTACTATTCCATTGTATGTCTATGCAACAGTTTATTTGTTCATTGGTTAGTGGATATTTAGGTTGTTTCCACTCTTTGGCTATTGGGATTGGTGTTGCTGTGTATTAATACATAGGCGTACTACAGAAACATTTTAATGATACAAGTATCTATTGGCAGAGAATAAATTCAGGGATACCAGCAGTCATTTTTGGGAGAGGGACTACAGATAAGTTTTTTATATTGTTAAGAGCTTTGGGCTTTAGAAGTAAACAGACCAGACTCAATTTCTTCACATGTAAAATGAAAAAAAAAGAGAGTATGTTAAATAAAACTGGATTATTGTGAAGAGTAAATGTAATATATCTAAAGAACTTAGAAAGACGTGGGGGCACAGTGTGAGTACTGAATATATAGTATTTTTCAAATACTTTATTTTTGCTACATTTATTTAAAAGTTTTCTAACAGATTAGATTTGTTAAGCGTGTTTTATGGTGTGTGTGTGTGTGTTTGGTGTGTGTGTGTGTTTGGTGTGTGTGTGTGTTTGGTGTGTGTGTGTTTGCACGTGCACTTGCTTGCTACACACTTATTAAGGTGCATGTTCTTCTTTGCTGGTAGTCAGTTGGGCTGGTGCCAGTCGAAGGCTGCCCCATTGCTTGAGCCAATAACACCACTTGGACTAAGTACATGGCGCTACAATGCAACTCTCCAAGTTTCAATTAAAACGATACTCCACTCGCCTACTCCCCAACCCCCCCCCCCCCCCCCCTCCAGCTCCGCTCCCATCTTGGTCTTTGTTTCAGCATTGCTTGGATGGTTGCACATGCAGCCCTCCAGGTTGCACATCTCAGTAGCTGGACAACGGGGCGGGGGGCCGGGCACTGGCTTTCGGGTACACACCGAGGAAAACTCTTTGCGATGAGGCGTTTCCCCGAATAAAACTTCCTCCGGAATCTCTCCTGTGCTCCCTAGGAAATCTCAAATTTTGTTTTCCAATGTGAACTACAAGAAGACTTTTTCTCCAACTCTGCGCAGCACAAGGGTCGCGGTCGGAGGCCGCAGGGCGCCTCCCCGGGTTTGGGGGGAGTTCGCTCTGCAGCCCCGGGGCGGGGCCGGCGCGGGGGCTGTGCGGGGAGCCGGGGGCCGCGCGGTCCCTCCCGTGGGGAGGCCTCGCGGGGGGAGGGGGAGGCAGCGTCTGGAGTCCCAGTTCCCCCGGGAGCTGCCGGCGCGGGGGGCGGGGGGCGGCCCCGGAGCCCCAACCTGGCCGATCACAGAGGCCCTTCAGGGACGGGGGATCGCAGCCCCCTGAGCCCGCACAGGTGTCCCGGCGGCGGCGCCCGGGCCCGCGGGCGAGGGGGGGGGCGGGCGCCCCCGCGCGCGGGCCCCGGGCCGGAGGGGGAGGTCCGCGCGGTGGTGCTCGCTCCTCCTCGCGCTCAGGTTTCCCCTCCGCCCGCCCCGCCCCGCCCCCTCCCCGGGGCCCCCTCCGCGGCCTCCGCCCGCCTGGCCCCGCGCGCCGGCCTCCTCCTCCCGCTTCTCCGGCCGCTGAGCCTCCAGCCGCCCAGGAGCCGCCGCCGCGGGGCCGGGAAGATGGCGACGGCGGGAGGCGGCGCGGGCGCGGGGGGCGCGGCGGGGCCGGGGCGCTGCGGGCCGGGCCCCTCCGCCGAGACGGGCGAGGGCGCCCGCGGCCCCGCGCCCCCCGCGCTGCACCCGGAGGAGGTGGCCGCGCGGCTGCAGCGGATGCACCGGGAGCTGAGCAACCGCAGGAAAATCCTGGTCAAAAACCTGCCCCAGGACAGCAGCTGCCAGGTGCGGGGACGGGGCTGGGCGGGAGGGGGCTCCGGGAGCTGCCCCCTCGGGGTGGGGGGGGTCCAGGATGGTGCCCGGCGCCTCGGAGAGGTCCGGGGAGGAGGGGGTCGGTGTAGAGTTAGGAGAACGGTCCGTCGAGTGTGCACCCCACCCTCGGGTTTCTGAGCCTGAGGCCACCCTGCAAGGGTGCAGATTTGGAAACTGAGGCTCCGAGAGGCCAGGCGACTTGTCCAAGGTCACGGGAGGAAATCAGGAGCATCTGCCTGCAAGTCAGGTTTGCTTTCTCCTTTCCCTCTGGCCCCTCGGGTGTGCCTGGGGGCAGGGAGAGGGCAGCAAGGAGTTGGAGGAGAGTGGAGGTAAGCCATGGAGCTCAGTTTGGGGGTGCCAGGTCTTTGGGAGCGCATTGAGAGGGCCGGAGGTCCCGCCTGGGGTTCTGGGGACTTGAGTGTGCCTGGCGGGGAGGGCGCGTGAGCGAGCTGGGAGCGAGCTTTGTTGTTGCAGAAGCACTTGACCAAGTTTGTAGTAGAGAAACCCTGCCCCTTCCGTTGAAGGCCAAGCAATGGAGAGGTTATCCCTGGCCTTGGGGGGCCTTGTGCATCCGTCTTCTGCACCCCAAGTGGTGGAGGGTTTATCCCTCAGGGGCTCGGAGGAAGCTTAAAGATAGGCTCCTTTCTGTCTTTGATCCGGTTTAACTGTTGCTTTCAGGTTTGAAGTTCTGTGATTATTTAACTATACCCCCATTCTTGTTTGCCAAGCTTCTACTCCTTGTAGGAAAGCAAGAACATACAGGGAAGCAAAAAGTGGGGAAATGGAAACCACTCATATTTCTGATACTTAAAGATAACCGCAGTGAGCTCTCTTTTCCTGTGCTTACGTCTACCTATGTATTTTTGTTTTACCAGAGAGGGAGAGAGAGAGATCCTATCTTTGAGTCTTTAGGGTTTCTTAGGTGCCTCTATCACGTATAACTTGAATTTGTGTATTTTGTGTGGGTGGGGAGGGTGGGCTGTCCTGGTAGTTAGTTGCAGATTTCGTGTGGTTCCCCATGTACACATGGAATTGCAAATCCATGAAATAACAAGATTAGTGCCTCATCACTATATGATTAGACCTTCCATAGCCACTCATAATAAATGTGAGCATTTCACCTTATAACCCACACGCATAAAGGGTTATTTTGTTTCCAAAAGCAAGGTAAACACACACACACACACACACAACACACACAAGTCTGTCAGCCTTGTATCTTATCCCTTTCAAATATTCTGTCATTGTTCACTTCTTGTCAGACAGGTAACGTTTTGTGATGTGACCTTTAAGGACACCTGTAATGGACTGACTTCATTGAGACAGTTTTCCCCTCGCCATGCAAACAGGAGAGCAAAGGAGCTCAGACAGAGGGAGGCATGGAAGAGGCAGATGGCAGTTTTAAAAAAGCAAATCGTAGAAATAGCATGTGTGTAGATAAACTAGAAGAGAGATGGAGAAGTATCTTGATTTCCTTTGAAGAATGTCATGTCCTTTATCATATGTCCTTGCAATCTGAAAATAGTTAGACCCCAAATTTTAGACAGTTTTATCTCATCTTGCTTTGTTGTTGGTATCTTTTTCATGTCTCTTCGCAAGAGACAATAATAAAAAATAGATCAAAAGGTCTAATAAAAGGAACAATTTTAATTACTTGGTGTCTGTGATGGAGAGATGTTTTATAAGAATTACACTGATTAGTATTTTTTGAGATAACCCTTCTCTATTGCCAATGTATGTTTAGTCTAACTCTTAGGATTTTCTCTAAGGTAGCAAGCATAAACTATGGAATAAAATTGGTATAAGATCTGTATGTCTAGATAACATATTACTGCCAACTAAAGTATCTTAATTTTTCTTTAACACACACACACACACACACACACACACACACACACACACACTCACACATATAATTGATTCCAGAGAGAGGAAGGGAGAAGGAAAGAGAGACAGAAGCATCAGTGATGAGAGAGAATAATTGATTGGCTGCCTCCTGCACACCTCACACTGGGGATGGAGCCCGCAAACCAGCATGTGCGCTTAACCAGAATCAAACCCAGGACCCTTCAGTCTGCAGCCTGATGTTCTATCCACTAAATCAAACCAGCACTGGGAATATTTTAAATTTTTACGTTAAGTTAAATTCTTATGCCATGTTTTTGTTGTTTTTTGTTTGTTTGTTTTTTTGGGGGGTGTTTTATTTATTTATTTATTTATTTATTTATTTATTTATTTATTTATGACTTAAAGGCTTGTCTGGATTTGTCCTAGCATTTTTTTTCTGTAATTATTTTGATATTTCTGGTACGTAGTTTTAAAAGCTAAACAGAGCAATGTTTGATTACAAACAGTATTTTTGAGAAGTGTTTATTTTTCCATCATCTTTTGTACTTGCACCTTTCCAATTTTTGTGATCAAAATCATATATTACACCTGTCAGTGATCTGTGTTACATAAATAAGTAGAATAAACCAAAATATTCTAGTTTTCTAAAAGGAATGAAAATAGTCTTTTCTTTAGATTCTGTAGATTGAGAATTGCTATTTTTTTCATTGGCCCAATAAAATTAATGTTTATTTTACATACTTTTTCTGAATATATTCTGCAAGAATTTTGGTATTTTATGTTTTACTTTAACAATTCTAATGTCTCTTTTTTCTTAGTGGCTGTATTTTACTGTCAACTTACTAATGAAAATTTAACTATAATTTTATTTGGTGCCTTTTAGCCAATATCACCTGGCTAACCTATATATTTACTTCTTATGAACTAATAATGTTTTTTTTTAAAGCTATTACTTAAAAAAAACATTTTATTGATTTTTCACAGAGAAGAAGGGAGAGGGATAGAGTGTTAGAAACATCGATGAGAGAGAAACATCAATCAGCTGCCTCCTGCATACCCCCCACTGTGGATGTGCCTGCAACCAAGGTACCTGCCCATGCCCTTGACCAGAATCGAACCTGGGACCCTTCAGTCTGCAGGGCAATTCTATCCACTGAGCCAAACCAATTAGGACAAGCTATTTTTGTTTAGTTATTAAGTAATCAGATATTTTAAATAATCAATTTCATGTTCTTAAGAAGAATCTATATTCACTCATTTATTCTACAATATCACAAAGGATCAAAGCCATTCCTAACTCTAGCTCTCAGACTCTGTAGTAAAGCTGCAGAAAAGCTATAATACAGTGGTAACTGATTAGTATAAGATAACTTAACTTTTTTTAAAAATATGGGTTTTGCCTTTATTAAATGTAGTTTTTATAAACCTTACTCAAATTTTAATTTTTGGTATGACAGATTTACAGTAGCATCTCAAACTTTACACTTCCTGTGATTAAAAGGCACACTAAACGTACAATTTTTAAGTGGGAGCCTTTAAAGATACATATATCAGAAACTTACAGAAATACTAGCTCTAAAAAAAGAAAATGAACACCTTTATTTAATAAGTTCTTAAAAGCTGTCTTATTGATTAGGCGCTATCTGGTCAGCTACCTCTGCTCTCTCAGATCCTTTGTGTTCTTTAGCCTGAACTTTAGTTCATGTCCTTTTCATCTCTTACACAGACTGTTCCAGATGTTCTGTTTGTCAGCTACCCTCATTAATGGTCTGTCTCTTTGGTGTTAGCCCCTCCTGCTCACAGCTGCCAGAGAGCTTCTCCAAGCACACATCTGATGTCACACTCCTGCTTTAAAACACAAACAAAAAATCCTTTGACTTCACATTCTTGGCACCACTTCTCAACCTTTTTCTCAGATTGTTCCATCAATTTGTCTTTCTTGCTTAAGTTGTAAGGAATAGTGAATCTGGATTGGCTTTCTGCAAGAAAGAAATTGTTTTAAGATTCATATTCTGTCTGAAAAACAACACATAATTTTATGCTCTAGTAAAATGGGACTTAATATAAAAACAGTGACTTACACTTGTTTAACTCCCCTCCAGTTTCCCCCCCCCCCCATAAACTTGAGACTTATGGGAGATGCACCATATTTATTCTATGGTTGTTTATATTCCTATATTACCATGAAGTACTCAGGACTCAGTTTGAAAGGCATGACATGATAGGATAGAAATCTAAGATTGTAGGCATTTTGTGATTTGGCTCTTGCCCATATTTTAAGTCTCGTTTCTTTTTAGTCCTGCATTAAATTCTACTGTAGTTTTATCAAGATGCCTAGACCCCCAATCTTTCATCCCATTGTGATTTTCATATTGTTGGTATTGTCTTTGAATGCTAGTGTTTTGGAATGTAATTATAGTGATTAGTTTCTTGTGAATAATGTTTATCATTATTCTAATTATAATGAATAACAGTGTTGTGAATACTGTTCTGAATACTCAGAACAGCCATTGTGTACGTGTGCAAGTCGTCTTTTGCAACTCTGAATTTAGAATTTGGGTTACCTTAATATGTGGGTTTTATTGCATTTCTCTAAATTGTTTTTTTTTTTATGGTTAGCCTTCAAAAACAGCATTGTTACTGGGATTTCACAGTGGAGAGAACAGTGGTATCATGTCCTATATCACTTGAGTTTACTCACTTTTTTCTTACATGCTGCGTGTGTGTACATGTGTTTGGTTTTATTGTGTTTATTTTTAAATCTACAAGGGATTTTATTGTGCAATTAAAAAAAAATGTAAAGTGCTTAGGACTAACAGCCAAGATCAGTAATAGAAGCAGCCTTCTATTGTCTCACTGTGTGTATTATTAACTTTCATTTCAAAGCACTCTATTATGGTAATTAATTGAGAAGCTTGATGATCAGTTTCAATACAATGTGAAAGCATAGTCTTATCAACCAAGAACCTTTTAGAATAACAAACCACCAAATGTAGGAAATTGATTGATAATCTTTTTAAAGCTGCTTATTCCCATTTTTCTTTTCTATGGGTAAAAAAAATAATAATAATAATTTTCTCACGTGCTTTGTGTTCTTTAAGGGGGGAGGATAGGGAAGGAATTTA